AAACTCGGCCCCAATTCTAATAACGAGCGCGCACCGTCAGGGAGAGTTATGCCTCCTAATACGGTTAGCCTTGAATTTTCCTTTTAAGCCTTTTTATAATTGTTCAATGCGCATTCTCCATAAGGCCTTATTAGCTTTAACACGAAAGGTAGTCAAGAAAAAACATTAAATGAATAGCGAAGGATAAAGGATAGCGTTCGACGTTCATCAGTTTCCTGGTGATACTCCATGGCTTCTACAATGGCTTGCGGTGGCCTACCGATGTATTAACTCGGTGTTTTCCTTTTCCCAGACACATCTGGCGTCAAATTGCCGACACGGATAAATGAACGGCCTGGAGAGTCCGAAGAGTGGCATCGAACTAAGGACAGCATTTGTATCGCAGAACGCCTATCACCACCATGCTATACTCTAACAATACGAACTAAACACGCCTGAAATTAGCAATAGTAACATCACCTGTATCACCTGCAGTCCCGTTGGTCGTCGAGTGACTCGAGCGGGCGCCAGTAAATCTTTCATTTTTCCCTGTCGCGTGTAAGAATAGTCCACTGGGTTCTGCTCGCTCTACGGATTTCTCGAGCATCATATCTTTCTTCAAGGCTCTTTGTGAAGAACTCTGGCCATCAGGTCGGTGGTCCTCCTGCAGTACGTTAGACATCACGAGAAATCCAGTCACTAACGGCTCTTGTCCATCGATTGTCATTTATACGCATTACGTGTCCGACCCACTTTATCTTCGACTGTTTGGCGTACAGAACGGCGTCTTTGATTTTTGATCGTTAACGCAGATCGGAGCTTCGGATCCCATCCCTTATTTGTGCGGAACGGGATATTCCTAGCATCGTCCTTTCGAATGCTCGTTCGATAACGCTGAGTGACCTTTCATTCCGCTTACGCAGCGACCAGGTTTCTGACGCATACGTTAGGGTAGTACCGTCGAGTCGAAAAGGTGGGCACGGAGTCGGGTGTTCTTTGTTCTCTCCACTACTCTCCTCGATGCACTTGAAAGCTCCCCAAGCCGCTCGTTTTCTTCTGCTCAGCTCTGGAGCTAGGTTGTTCATTATATTGATTTTCCAACCTAGGTAGATATAACTGGAGCATTCAGAGACATTCGTTCCGTTGAGCGTGAATGGGGCATGCGAAAGCAATCCGTTCTTCATGAACATCGTTTTTGTGAGATTTAATCGAATATCAATCTTTTCACAGGCTTTATCGAAATCGTCAAGCATACGTTCCGCTTGGATAATGTTTAGAGTTATAAGGACGATGTCATCAGCAAAGCGAAGATGGTGTAACTGCCGAACGTCAATTTTCACTTCCATATTATCCCATTCCAACGTTCACATGACGCTTTGGAGCCGTAAATAATTTTGGCGAGATGGTATCGCCTTGCCTAACTCTTTCATTGACGTCAATGTTAATATAGTTGTAGAATGTTGATATCTTCGCTGTGAAATTTTTATACAACTCACGAAGAATCTGTATGTACTGAGTAGAGACTCCTTCACTATCAAGGGCTTCCCAGACTGCTTCCATCTCATCTGAATCAAAGGCGTTCTGTAAATCGATGAAAGTGAGACAGTGCGGTCTCTTGTACTCCCGTGATACTTCAATGTGCCGTGTTACCGTGTGGATGTGGTCCACCGTACTAATCCTCTTCGAAACCCTGCTTGCTCACATGGCTGTCATTCGTCTAGTGTTTTGTCAATCCTGTTTAGGATGACTCGAGNTTGCCTAACTCTTTCATTGACGTCAATGTTAATATAGTTGTAGAATGTTGATATCTTCGCTGTGAAATTTTTATACAACTCACGAAGAATCTGTATGTACTGAGTAGAGACTCCTTCACTATCAAGGGCTTCCCAGACTGCTTCCATCTCATCTGAATCAAAGGCGTTCTGTAAATCGATGAAAGTGAGACAGTGCGGTCTCTTGTACTCCCGTGATACTTCAATGTGCCGTGTTACCGTGTGGATGTGGTCCACCGTACTAATCCTCTTCGAAACCCTGCTTGCTCACATGGCTGTCATTCGTCTAGTGTTTTGTCAATCCTGTTTAGGATGACTCGAGTGAAAAGTATGTAGGCGACAGAGAGTAAACAGATTAGGCGATAGTTGCCGATATCGTGCAGGTCACCCTTCATGAAAAATAACACGGTCTTGCTCCTCTTCCACTGAGTAGGGACCTTGCATAAAAACAGGTGGCGTGTGAAGAGCCGAACCATTGTGTTTACGAGGACTGGTGGAAGGTTCTTCAGGTATTCTGGTCTTATCCTGTCCGGACCTGGTGCTGTTCGATTTTTCTCCGACGAAATGGCATGTCGGATTTCGGAAGGGAGAACCGGTGGCACAACACATCCATCCCCCTTTACTTCATATGACGGAAGGTGGACGTGGCTATCGAAGAGATTCGAGTAGTGTTCTGAATGATTTTCTCCATTGCCTTTCTGGACGCTGTAACTGCTCCGTCTGGGCGCCGGAAACAATCATTTGGTCTTGTAATTGGCGAAGCTTCGGTGGGCTTTGCGAATGGTTTTCCCGGCCTCTGCAACTTCGGCCATTACTGCTGCTCTTCTCTCTCTAGGATCTTCTTTTATCGCCTCTCTGCATTGCTTTGCAAATTCGAACGTTAGTTCGCGGTTGCCTGCAGCTCGTGCGATTCCACGCCTGCGTATCAGCTCGAGTATTTCTGGAGACAGACGTCTCTTGGAGTTTTTCGAACTCTGAGCTTTCATAGCGCCAGCGTGAAGATGTTGAATGAGCCATCGTATTCTTCGTCGATGTTGTCGGCAACGGCATCTTCCCAACAGCCGGCTAATGAATCACAGTTTATTGTGGTTCTGAGAGTTCGGTTTTGGAATTTAGCGGCTTTTTCTCCTTTCCGCGAGAAATAGAATCGTTCACGAACGAGACGATGGTTTGATCTTATGCAGAATTTTGGGACAACAGCGACATCAGTTAGGCAAAACCTTCTATTTACTATGATGCAGTCTATTTCATCATGGTACTCTCCACTGGGAGGCTCCCACGTCCAACGCTAAGGGTGGTGCTTCTGGAATTGCGAGTTACCATGGATTGTCTTGGTCGCATGATAAACTCAGGTAGCCGCTCACCCTGTTCGCTCCATTATATTCCGTGAGTCTCAATGTGACGATTTTCAGACGTTCTTCTTGGTCCAATCTTGGCGTTGAAATCTCCAATGGTGATTTTGAAGAATGTGTGGTCTTCTCTGTAAAACTTTTCCAAGTCCATACAGAACGCATCGACTTCTTCTTCGTCATAGTTTGATGTCGGCGCATAAACGAGGAAGATTGTCAAAGCAGGAATTGATCCACGTCTTCTTAATCGTAAACGTCCGATTGGGGTTGTAAGTTGTTCGAATGAATTGATGTTCATGGACAAACTCGTGTTGACGAGAACGCCGACGCCGCCGACTCCTCTACTGTCGCATGTTCCGAAGAACAGTTCTTCTTCGGTGCCGTAGACGGCGTTTAAAGGCTGGCGTCTTCTCGTCTCGGTCAGGCCGATGACATCGTACTTTATCCTTCTTGCTTGCATGAGCAAGTCTTCTATCGAGGATTCGGATGTAGGTGTACGTGCATTGTAGATACAGATCGTCACCTTCGTTCTTCGTGATCCAGGCAGCTTCCGCTGGTTCTGAGATTTTAGCAGGCTCTCCGTACTCGTCCTACCCAACGCTGCGAAATTGGGGGCTGTTTCAGGGTCATGGGAATGAGGTCCGTTTTTTTTTTCACCGTGTTTAGCATTTTTATACACACGTGCAGCTTGTTGGGCTCTGAACGTGGGGGCTGGGTATACTCACGGGTAGCTTGCCAGGCTCTCCTCTCCCAGAGGAGTCCACTCTGGGAGAGCAATAGTAACATGAAAACAGTAATGGTTGACACAATACTAAAACGATCAAATCCGTATTTTTAAGCGATCGGTCTAGACCGATCATTAATCCGGTCAGGGAGAAGGAGGAAGAGAAATAAAAAATAGAGTGAAAAAGCGCTGAAGGAAATTAAATTTTTGTAAAGTTGTATTTTCAATATGGCGAAGGTGAAGGAGAAAATAGGAGAACTCAGCGGTAGCGCTTCTGAAAGGTTTCAAATAAAACAGTTTTTTAAAGGAAACATTATTCAGACTCAAATTCTCCAACTGTCGAATGGTTGATAGAAAAAAATTTGAAACTGAACATTTAAGAGAACAACTGTTAAGGACGATCTTTATAGCCCAAGGATTACCTGTTGACACACACTAGAAGTGTTGAGAGAGGAATTCGGTGTCGATATTTTTCTCTGTACTGTGGAGCGTAGGACTCAATAATGTTGTTGATCGCTGGTGGAATGTTACATAAGACGAATATTCCGGTCATCACTACAGTCATCACTGTCAGCCTATAAGTAATAGTAAAAAATGAAGAAAAAAGGAACAAAGAGGAAATGGAAAGAAAGGTCAAAGGAAAGAACTAGAAAAGCAGCGGAAAGCAGGCAGAAAGATGAAGGTATATGAAGGATTTTTGGAAAACTCGGTGAAGACGAGAAAACTGAACGAGCGCGAAAGTCAACAATGGCAGACAGAAGGAAGAAAGAATATTTTGATCGGAAAGCAGAGAAAGTGGGCAAAAATGTGGCTAACGATCGAACAACTATCAAGGCGAATACGGTTAGTGCCATAGAAAAAAAACAGAAAAGAGAGAAAGGAAAGTAGAACAATTTTTAAACCAACTTTCGTTCGTCTACATCCCGGCGTCCTCTAGTTTTAGACTGAGTAAGCTGTTCATGAGTACGATATGCTTCACGAACCTATAAAATGACATTTTAAAAGCGCAAAGAAAAATTTCCGTTGGATGCGTTGCGTGCTCTTATTTGATTAGTCGTTGATTAGAGATTCTGACCAATCATAAATACGTAGAAGCACTAAATTTATTGCTAGCACTTAATCTTATACATCGAAATTTGAAACATTTCCGATCAATTTCGTTGACGGGTGATTGCTGATGGCACTGATTGATAGAACTAGCTGAGCGACAGGCCAAACGAATGACCCACATGGTGTGGTGGTAAATGCTTTAGCCTTCTGAAAGGGTAATGGCGCGTTCGTTCCTCACCGCAGGCACCTGCGGTCCGGAGTTTTGCAAATATCTCAGAACCATTGTGGTTGTATTTCGCATAATAACCAGTCGTAAAGAAATTGTAGCAGGCAGCAAAAAGCTAACTTTTTGGTTTTTATTGAGCGTGACGTCAATCTTTGATTAAATAATGATGTATGATGTCACTCAATTGGAAACATACTTTTTGGATGACAACGCCGTTAAGGACGATAATGATTGTCCACGGCAGTAGCAGGATGCATATCACATACATATATGTCATGTATACAAGCTGATATGTTGGATCAAGGCGTAGTGATGACGGCATAATTTGACCGGATTCATTGAGAACGATCTCAAAAAATGCCGGCAGTTTGAAGAGTACACTAGAACGAACGACTTCGTAAGAGTACGTGTAATTCTGCAATTTGTAACATCAAAGCAGAAAGATGTGAAATATACAATAATAGTATGAAATAGAGCGTAAACCATAATAGAAAGCCTTTCACTTAGTTAATATTTTTACATGGCTCCTCTTCACAGCTTCTGTGCGGATCCCAACATTTCTTGAACTTGATTCGCTTTCTAGCATCTGTTGCCCACGACAGCCTTCCAACTTTTGTATGCGGCCTCGACAGCTGCTTGAGGATTCAACAATCTCTATGAAGTTCACTGAATGCCGGTGGAGTCGACTCTCCCCGAAGCCCTGGGATCGCGAAGGTAGAGCGCTTCCCCTTGAATTTGCCAGTTTGTTTACCCTGGAGGGATGTAAGGCTTAGTGGACGCGTAGAGAGGTCAAATCGGCACTGCGCTCGTGATGAGAGACGTCAATACCATTACGTTATCCGCTCCCTATTTAGCCGACTACGATACGTTTTTTCCATTAGCTCATTGTTTCCACATCACCTATGGTAATCAACAGATTGATGTTTCCATACCGAACAAACAGGAGTTTGTTAACAAAATAATGATTTAGTGACTCCATTATTCATTCCCACGATGATTCGTTCTTCTTATCTTCATTGCCTTTCGTAACTTCAACTTCTTCATGAAGTCATAGCTCGTTTTTTCTTTTGAAAACTCTGATTAGGAGCAAAATCGCAAGTAATTTAAAAGCAAGTCGGTCCAAATCCACGAATGAGAACGTTTCTTCTTTTTCATCGAGGACGTCTGACGTTGTCGCTTGAAGTACACTTGCTTTTTTTTGAATATTTTAACCAATTCTTTTATGTTTCTATCGAAATTTATCCACTGCCAGGGCTTAAAAAGAAAACTGAATTAAAAAGTTTACTTACCTTACTCATAAAATTTAACTAACCAGTTCAGAAAGATTAAGAAAGAAAGCAAATAAGTTAACCTAAATATTGCCACTCCGCACATGACAATCGCCGACGTTGTCGGTGTGGCCCAAACTCTTTTCTTAATCGGAAAAAAGACGGCGATAAACCGATCGCAAGCGATCACCACACATGTCCAGACAGAACCTTAACCACAGAAATGAGCTCATGAGAGTCTCATCATTAGAAATTGGTTAGGAAAAACATTAAAAAATGTGTTTTCAAGAAGCTTCTAAGTCGTTAGATGTTTCTACAATGTGAACACACTTAGTTGCATCTAAACTCCAACTAAAGCGTTCTCAAATTGGTGGTAAGGCGCGACTGCTGGCTTTTCACACCTTAATAGATTCTATTTGAAAGCTATCGGAATTCCACAGTACCTTAGCTTCTATTTCTAAACAATTTTTTCTTAAACCTTCTCGTGCCTCTATCATTATTTTCACAGGAGTCACACTTCCACTTGTATTTCTACAAAAACCTATGTTTACTTACCAGATGAACACTTATGAAAGCTCTATGGGGAGATTATGTTGTACATAAAAAACGATTCTTTGCAATCAGTCTCATAAGTAATGTAGACATTTTTTTCTTTTTTGTTGTTTTTTCTTTAAAATTCTCCTGAAGTAAATGTTTGTATATAAAGGATAAAGGACAAAGGATAAAAGGATAAAGCTCTAGGCGTTGATCAATCCCTGAGAAATGCGGCATGCATTCGACTTCATCAACTATTGTTGGAGGTTACTGAGTGCATACCTAGCCTTTACAACGATTCGCAGTGGCCTGCCGGTGTATCGAACCTGTGGTGTTATCCTACCAGACAAGTCTGGTACCAATTTGCCAACCCCTGAAGGATGGAAGGCTTGGTGAGCCTGGGGCGCGGGTGTCGGTTCCTTGTGTGTTGCATGGCTCCTCCAACCACTGCGCTTACGTTTGTACATACTTACTTGATACTTGAATGGCCCATCCTCACTGGTTGTGCGGGTCACAGCATTATCTCCATTTTTCGCAGATTTGCTGGTCAAGCCATTATGGTTCCCTGGAGTCCTGAAGTCAGCCTGGCCGAAGTCTGTCCCAGGTCTTCACCACCACGAGCAGTTGCAGCCCTTGTGGATCAGAGAGAGAGATTTACCACTATTCGACTTTGATACCAGGATGGTGGTGGATCCTGGTATTGGTTTACTCTTAGCTAGGTTTCCTGATGGAAACGCCAGACTCCTTCTCAGCTTAGGAGACCTTGCCAGTGGATGAATCCCCCGCTGTACATCGCAGTCTGACACCCAGGAACACCTCCCATCCACGATGAGGCGGTAAACCGTTGGGAGGTACGTTTGTACATAAAGTCCAATAATATTCTAATCCTTAGTCAAATTAGTTATACGTAAGGCGATTATCTCCTCAATAATACGTGTCCACTACTAAGTATGCAAGTGTACTTGGAATTCAGGTAAAGTTGCAATAGAACAAACACACTCTGTTACACTACCAGTTGAGTGATAACCGTTGTCAGAAAGTCTACCATGATGGATAAGCCGCCCATTTAGCATGCTATGCATACTTACAGCATAATTAATACAGTATGATGGTGAGAAAATAATCATGGCTCCATTGCGAATATGATAATTTCACACCGCCTTAACACTACCAGAGTAGGCCCTTATCGTACCTGCCTGGGCGATCAGTGACAATGGGTAGGCGATCAACGTTGATTTCCAGAAAAAGTGACAAACAGGACTGTCATCCTAAAAATACGTCGGAAAATATCGCGAACAAACGGCAGAAAAATAGCTATGGTAATTTGAAAAAAAAACTAAGATTCAGGATGGTGACTTTTTATTTACTGCCTTCTACAATTTTTCGCGGCAGGGCTTTATGTGAAATACAACAACAATAATGCTTAGATAACTACAATGATGCTGAGCTATTCGCAAAACTGCGGACCGTTGGTGTCTGCGGTGTGGGCCGAACACGCTTTTACTCTTTCCGGGGGTCGACGCGTTCACCAACACACGGTGCGAGCCCTTCGTTTCGCTTTTCTCCCAACCATGTGTGCTTATATTTTATATAATATGCTGCCATTGAAAAATAGTAAGCAGTAAATAAAAACTGACGATATTATGATTTATACCACACCTTCAGCTTAACTAGGTTCAATGCCGACTTGTGCGCCTCGGATCAATCCAGTTGATGGGTGATTGCTGATAGCACCTATGGGTCAATAACACAGCTAGGAGCGGAACGAAATGAAGGACTCTTTTGGTGTGGTGGAAAACGTGTTAGCTCCCAGAAAGGGTAATAGCGTGTTCGCTCCCCACCACAGACAGCTGCGGTCCGGAGTTTTGCAAATATCTCAGTATCACTGTGGTTATAATTCATAGAATACCCTGCCATTAAAAAAATAACAGGCAGTGAGTAAAAACTGACAACATTATGTTGCTGAGATATTTGAGTTGAGGATATTACCCTTTCTGGGGGTTGACTTATTCACCTCAACACCATGCAGGTCTTTCGTTTAACCTGTCTCTCAGCTAATTCTATCAATCAGTGTCATCTTCAGTCAGCCGTCAACGAGATTGCATAGAAATATTTTCAAATTTTGATGTATAAGATTAAGTGCTAGCAATAAATTTAATGATTCTAGTTACTTATGATTGGTCAGAATCTCTAATCAACGACTAATCAAAAGCGAGCACGCAATGCATGTTGACGATAAGATTGAAGGCTTAGATGTATACAGTGATGAATAAATTATAAGATAAAGATTTTCTGATCAATAATTTGTTAAGGACAAGAGTAGGTCGTGTTTTATAACACCAATTGAATGTGCTGGTCTTCGTTAACTATATGAAATTTTAGCAGAGCTTAGTTAGTTTCCGCATTTTATGTGAAATACAACCGCAACGATGATGGGATATTAGCAAAACTCCGGACCGCAGGTGTCTCCGTTGGGAATCGAACCCACTATTACTCCTTCCACGGTTTAACGTGGCTCACCACCACACCTTGCGGGTCCTTTGTTTCGTCTTTCTCTCAGTTAGCTTTCTATCTAACAATGCCATTAGTAATCACCCGACAACGAGATTGATCTGGAAAGCACAAATCGGCATTGAACCCAGTTCCTTTTTCCAATTCCATACCCTGTCGCGAAAAATTGTAGTAGGTAGCAAATAAAAAACTGACATTGTGATTTCGACTACAGCCTCTGCTTAACTGGGTTCATTGAGGTCAATCCCGTTGTCCAGAGATTGATAATGGCACTGTTAGGTTGAAAACCAGCTGAGAGAAAGACGAAACAAAGGACCCGCAAGGTGTGGTGGTGAGCCACGTTAAAGCGTGGAAGGAGTAATAGTGGGTTCGATTCCCAACGGAGATACCTACGGTCCGGAGTTTTGCTAATATCCCATCATCGTTGCGGTTGTATTTCACATAAAATGCGGGAACTCTAACTAAGCTTAGCTAGAATTTCATATACTTAACGAAGGCCAACACGCTCAATTGGTGTTTTAAAACACGACCTTCTCTTATCCTTAACAAATTATTGATCGGAAAATCTTTATCTTATAACTTATTCATCACTTTATACATCTAAACCTTCAGTCTTATCGTGTACAATATTCAATATTTATCTCTTAATTAAGGTTTTAATTTTAGTTTAAAGAATTAGGAAGAGAGCAGAAAAAAAACAAAACAAATTCGAATTAGTTTGAAATACCCGCTTTTCTTTTCAGTTCATATCGACAAAGAACACGCCTGAAGTTGAAAGTTTGTGCTAAACCTAGAAAGAAAGCATTCCCTTGAAGGGCTATCATCGCCCACATCACCTCTCTGGTCATCATTTGACGTCCACAGGTAAAAATAATCGCCAACAAGACTAACCTAATTATTACTGGTTCATTTTACTCAAAAATGTAACTGACGAAGATAAAAAAACGTAATTTCGTGCAGAAGATGTTGATAGATGTAGAGAAAAACTATGCACTTTCACTGATGATGGAGTGCCATGTCATGACAAACTGTCATTCGCAGAGATCGTGTTTTCCGAGAAGGCCGGAATGTCTTCATGTAGATGACAAAGTATTCCGTGAAAAAAAACCACGAAAGAAGAAAAACAAACGATTGAAGAAAAACTAGAGTCTTATACTATTCATTCCTGGATTCAGTGACCTTTAAGGTAAAAATAAACGATGTCCATCCAAGGAAGCAAAATTTTTTCCGTGTTGAGAAAACCGAAATTGAACTTGTTTGGCGCTTGTAGGGTTATATATAGCTTGTCGTCAAAGCGTGATGGAACTCGCGGAATACAGAGGAACCCTCAATTTAAACTCCCTTTAATCCCTCATTATTTTTCTACACTCCTATCATCCACGTAATGAGATGCAACGACTGAACATTGTTCTAAAATTGTCCTTTCCCGATGATATTGTGATCTCATGATGTTATGAAGAAGAAGAAACATCTAATTTGTCAAGGTTTACGAAGTGATAATCCGATCCTGTAGCGACCATCATTATTCTAGTAGTGCACCATTTTCTTCCCACCGTAGCACAGGATTTGTGCACACTGATTATAATGATAAGACATAAAGCGTTTAACACGTATCCTTTCACTGATACGAAGTTGATGAAAACGCTTTATTCAGCTAACGTTCCGGCGCCTTAGTCTTTTTCAGAGCCGGATTGATCCTAGTCGATTGTCCACAGTTGTTCCTTCTTCCGATAAGTGCCGAAACGTTAGCTGAATAAAGTGTTTTGTCGACCTCGTGTTAGCTTATCAGCGAAGGGGAACACGCTGATTAGTTATTCCGAGGTTTATGTAAAGCCCATTTTTCAAATAAAGCTCCCACGTTGAATAATCCCTTAAGAAAGCGGCAAAAAAATCGCAATCAACACCCTTCGTAAGATCGTAGCGGTGAATGAAAGCAGATTTGACCCATAGGAACAGTTAAGTGGGCCAATAAATGTGTCAGATAGGTGTTTTTTCTAGTGTCAAACAAGTGTAACACCATTTTTTGCTACTCCGGAAGGATGGAAAGTTTTGCTAGCTTAATCGGTGGATCGAACCGAACCGAAGACCACACGCTCACTGCAAGTCACCCTTAAATGAAATGCCACATGTGTTCTCCTCACTGTGATCATAGCATCCTAATCTTCAACTCTCTGAAGATAGCGTAAAGAATGCAAATTACATAGGCTACATGGCTACTAGCCAGGCTGAAATCGACTTGAGCTATCCTCGCTGATAAGGTGTGCATCTTTCAGCTCCTGTAAGAATTTCTAAAAA